GATAGAGCAGGGTTTAGGGCTGTTGTACATAAGATCACTAAGAGTTGAAGGAGACATGACGGCACATAACAACAACAACAACAACAACAACAACAACATTCTTAGGGGTATGTGTGATAATTCAGACTCTTTTAGTAATAATTCTTAAATACTCTACTGGAATTGTTTTAAACCTACCTAGCTTTCCATTGCAAATGAATTCATTAAGTGAAGGCTATTTCTTCTCAGACCAAAGGACTCATTTAACACATTTACATTAACATGCTCGGTTTGTCTTGCTCACTATGCTTATTGGACACACATCAGACATGATTCTGAAGATGATTTTATGGTTCACGGGGTTTTCAAAACATGATTTTTGTCTAGAATTCTCTATAGGAAGATTGTTTCTAAATGGCAGGAGTTTGTTAAGGTATCATAGCCCTGACTGACTGATAGACAAGTCTAAAAGGAAGCTTGTCTCTATAAATGAGTCTTTTCAGGAAAGTTATTCATTTTTCTCTAGTTTAAATTAATAAAAGAAAAAAAAAGGAAAAACAGTATAGAAAGGCATTCAACACTGGTGTGATATTAGGCAATCTTATTTTACTGAAGGATCCTTTTCGCTTAGTTCTACCATTTGTATGATTCTTCCATGTCGCTGGAGGTCTCAAAAACAAAGAGAGGTGACACTATCTTCTTGGAGGCCTCCAGTAACAAGGAAGAAAGTACAGTCACCTCCTTCCACCTTTGAGACTTGCAAAGATCTGAGCCACTAACTATGCCGTGATACCTCCGTCCGGGATCCTGTCCTGCCACATCGCCATGGGCCTCAGCTGAGGCCAGAGAAGGTTGTCCTGTGCCATGATATCACATGCCTAACTGTCTTTACGTTTTATTGTTAGAGGTTCAACTTCTATCTATCTATCTATCTATCTATCTATCTATCTATCTATCTATCTATCATCCATCCATCCACCTATCTCGTCACAGTATTGGTGAATGATTTACATGTTCAGGTCTGTTCAATCACCTGCCACACTCTGACAGGTGGACAATGAATAAGGATGACACAAGAAGAACTGATGTCTTCGAGCTGTGGTGCAGAAGAAGAGTACTGGATATCCGATGGCCTGACAAAAAACTCAAACAGATAAGTCCTGGAAAAGTGCAGCCAGAGTGCTCCTTGGAGGCAAAGATAATGAAGCTCCGTCTCCCACACTGTGGATGTGTTGCTAGGAGAGGCTATTTACTGGAAAGATGGGGGACCAATTGGAAAGATCAGTTAAAAAAAAGAAAGGGCCTCCCCCCCACCCCCGTTGGGATGGACCAACACATGACGACAGCAATGAGCTCGTGTGTCAGAGATGATGAGGATGGCACAGAATAGGACACGGTTCAGGTCTGTTGTTCACAGGATCACTAGGGGGTCATACTTAACAAAATGACACCTAACAACAACAAGGGAAGAGAGGGAGCTCTGGTGGCCTAGAGGTAAGAAGCTGTGCTGCCAACCCAAAAGCATGTGGTTTGAATCCACCAGCTGCTCTATGCGATAAAGATGACAGGAGTCCAGAGTGAAGAGTGCACGGTGGAGTGGACTTGGGGAGAGGGAATGCATAAGTATGAAAGAGTTTTTCTTTTACTTTTCAAGGAGAAGACTGAACTGGGCGGGTCAGGGAGAAAAGTGCAACAATGTGTGACTGGAAACCCCAAGTCTCTGTAAACTTTCACTGAAATTAATTAAAAAAGAAAAAGAAAAAAGATGGGCATTTCCTCTCATGTGATCTAGAGCCTCTGAAAACCTACTGGAGAGAGTTGGTTCCTACTCGGCAGCACCTAAGAACAAGCACAGTGCTACTGAAATCAAAAGATGTATTGCACTGGGAAAACCAGTTATCAAGGATTTCTCCAAAGTGCTAAAGAGCGAGGTTGTGAGTATAAAGACCCAGGTGCTCCTGATGCAAGCTATGGTCGTCTTTTCAATTTTTTCCTATGCATCTGAAAGTTGGACAAGAAATAAGGATGACAGAAAAATGATGTCTTTGAACTGTGGTGTTGGAGAAGAGTACTGAATATTCCATGGACTGTCAAAAGAACAAGCAAGTTTGCTTTAGATGAAGATTCAAGATGGCCCACAGAGGCCAAAGGATGGCTAAACTTTGTCTCACTTATTTTGGGCATGTTGTTAGGAAAAGTCAGTCCTTGAAAAAAGACATCGTGGTGGGAAAGCAGGGTCAGAGAAAAGAGAGGACGATTCTTAACAAGATGGCTTGAGTTTAGCAATGGATTCAAGCCCATCAGAGGGGTGTGGAGGGTGTAGGATAATGCAAGGGGCGGGTCTGCTCTCCACAGGGATACTCTGAGTCATAGCTGACTTGATGGGACCTAACAGCACCAACAATAAAGACTAACGATATTTCTCATCTTTTCACATACTTACCTATTACTTAAAGACAGCCCATTTGTAAAGTTGACTGTTAGATCTTTTATCCTTTAAAAACCGAGCTGTTTCTTTGAGCTTTGAAAATTATTGATATATTATGTATATCAGTCCTTTATCAGATGTATGATTTGCAGTTTTAACCTAAGCTATGGATTATCTTTTCATTTTCTTAACAATGCTGTTGTTGATTGCAGTCGAGTTGAGCACTACTCATAGCAACCCTATAAAAGAAAGATCTGAAGCTTTTCTAGAACTGTTGTTGTTTCTCCAAGTTCATAGAGTTCCCAGAGGGCATGTGGTTTAGGAAGTGGATGCCACTCCTGCTTCCAAACCTATCTTAAACTGGGAGCTCCACCAAACACTGTCCACCACAGGCAACCATTGTGGCATTTGAGACCCCAATGGCACAAGGTTCAGCGTCACAGCAAACCCAGATTACCTCAGCACAGCAAACTGACAGAAGAGTGTTGTACAACTTAGAAGAATGTTCTGCCAAAATATAGTAACAAGGGATTAAAATATAATCCCTTGGGCCCAACTTTAAGGGCCCTCCAGGAGGTCTTGTTGACTCTAAACAAGAGGCTTAAAAAAAAACCCCAAACAACCAAACACACAAACAACCCCACAACAAACCAACCAAACATTAACAATATTTTTTGAAAAGCAGAAACATTTCATTTTGATGAAGTTCAGTTTATCAATGTTTTCTTTTATGAACTGTGCTTTTTGGGTCCTATCTAAGAAATGTGGCCTAAAGCAACAAAGATTTTCCTCTCCTGTTTTTTTTCCAAAAGTTTTACATTTGAGTTCATCATTCATCTTTAATTCATTTTTCTATCTGATACAAAGCATGAGCTCAAAGTTCATTACTTTTGCATATGACCATCCACTGTTCTAGCATCATTTATTGAAAAGTCCACTCTTTCCCCAACAAACGGTCTTTGCTCTATAACTGGAAATCAGTCTCTTTCTAGGATCTATTCTATGCCTTTGATCATCTGTTTATCTTGAAGCCAGCACTGCACAGTCTTAATTATAAATCAACTTTGGTCTACTTTTTCATTCATTTTCACTAGTCGGTTCTTTTACTTTTTTATGAACTATAGATTCAAGTTGTCAATTTTTACCCCAAAATTGGATGGGATGGGGGTTATACTAAATCTGCAGGTCGGACTGGACAGAAACAACATCTGCACTTTGAGTAACTTTCTCACAAGCATGAATTTGTCAGTACTCAACACTGAAGGGATACAGTCCGTAAAGCTCTGGGCCGGTCTCCCTGTGCAGGGCTCTCCTTTCACATCCTCTGTACTGTAATCTCTGGCTGTCTTGTTTCTCCTGGGCCTGCAGTTCCTTGTCGTCAATTCCACCAGGATTTATTTCCCTGCACTACATCTCAAGGCAGAAGCAAGGGAAACACAGGGCTCCCCACTTCTGTTCTGAAGGATCACGGTCCTTCACTGCCTGATGTCCAAAATGGTCAATAACGTCATTCCATGTATTCAAGACATTTAAAAAAAGGGTGTCAGGGGGATTGCATAACAATAAAAGATTTATTTTTTTTTACTTTTCAAAGAGAAAAGTGAACTGGGGGAGGGGTAGACAGGGAGGAAAGTGCAACAATGAAGGAATGAAAACCAAAGTCTCTGAAAACTCTCATTAAAATAAATCAATAATACCCAGCAACAAAACAAACAAACAAAAAATGGTTTTAGGCATGAAGGTAAAACAGATCCCTGTCAGTTGGAAGTATAACCCTCAATTTTTAGTTTTTATTGTCAAATCTGTTCTTAAAATTCTAAAATTCATGTACAAATGATACAATAATAACTAGTTATCTAGATAAAGCTTTATCACTGTTCTTCTTTGGGGGGTTTTGTTATTGTTGATGAACTCAATTCATTCCACAAATAGTCAAGTGAACTGTATGGAGCAAGCAGCCTGCTAGGACCTGGGGATGACACAGTGAGCATTAGGACCAGGCACCATCTGCTTTCAGAGCTCACCTTCTAGCAGGACATACAGACACCAATCAACTACCATTTAAACAAACAGAAACTGTGTTACCTGCTAAGATGGGAAAAGAAGTAATACAATGAGAAGGTCTAACTGTGATTTTCTGGTCTTTGTTTCTGTAGAGTCTGTGGCTGCAGCTGAAAATAATCACTGTTTCTTTATGTTCACACCATAAAGAAATTACATTATGAACATATTGGTGGTGAAACAAAGTCTCCATCACTTCATCATATAGACTCATTTCTCAATACATGTGACAGACTATGTATCAGACATTGGGAGGTGCACTCAGGGTTCAGAGAGGATGAACCTCTTACTGCTAAGCCTATATACTGTCAATTGCTTCATTCCTATGCATATGAAAACAAAGTATACAGAAAGAGAAGTTACAGTAAAAGGTTACCAGAAATGGCACTTTACTACTTAAAAAGAATTTTGTTTAACCTTAAAAATATTTTAAACAAGGTCTAAATTGCAGTAATTTGACTAGTTGGTATTTTGTGTTGTTTGTTTATTTTTTAAAAAAACAAAACCAAGACAGTTATCTGTTCAAGCTTACCTAGAAATTTCGGCTTGGGAGTTTTTCTCTCCATCAACCGTGAAAGGCGATGCTCCAGTTAGTAATTCATACATCAGAACACCTAAACTCCACCAGTCAACTGCCTACAAAACAAATCATTTCACTTTACAGACACATCAAATAAAGAACATTTTATAAGAAAGAAAAAGACAAAAAAGTACAGACTCCATGTGAAACTATTTTAGCAGCAAGATGTGAGCACAGCTTTCTGTGCAAAAAATGTGACATGAGGATATAAAAAGAGAAAAAGAGGAGAACATTTAAAGAACAAGTAACAAGATATCCTTAGCAGAAATTTAAGCACAATAAAAGTAATCAAGGAGTTAAATGTGTTTTATTTCTAAATTCTTTAAAAAGTATTTTATTTCTAAATTAGCAAGTCTGTTGTGTCTACAGAAGAGTTGGAACCAGTTCATAGCCTATTCTCCAACAGTCTTTCCGACGCAGGAAGCCAAGTCCGAGGGGATTTGAACCCATGGATTTGAAGCATGTGGTTTTAGACTGGCAGCACAACAGTCTTACTTTGGTTAATTAATCTTTTAAAATTAAAAAAAATCTATCATTTCTTAAATTTTATATCTTTGAATTTGAATTTGGAAAAACATCTTTTTTTTTTTTTCTTTAACGTATCAATCGTGTCTTCATTAATTTCAACTCCAAGGAGTCTTATGGGATTCCTTACAATCAAATTTCTTTGGAGAACAAAAATAGAAAAGAAAAAAAAATCGATGTGTGCTGCTTTAGTATCTACTTGCTTCAACTCCTCTTACAGAATTTATCACAGAAACCCAACAATCTTTACTGGTGAGCACGAAGAGATTTAAAGAAATAAAAACCAATATACTAAAACAATTACCTCAACTGAGAGCACAGCAAATTACTTACAGTTTAAGGGATACTGATTTATTTTAAAAAAAAACAAAAAACAGTTCTCTAAGTAGGCAAATCAAGGTTTCAATAACTGTTGAACATATTGGCCTAAGTGTATTCACTTTGGGCCAAGGTTTCTGAGAGTTGAGGCAAAATTTATAAGTCTAGAGCGCTTTTAAAGAAAATGTGTAATATCTACAGATAAAACAGGAACAGACAGATGGGAGTTCTGAGAAGACTATTATCTAATGAATAAGTTTTTTTTGGTGCAAGGCACTCTGATGAGGAGCCCTGATGGTGCACTGGGTAAAGCACCTGGCTGTGAACAGAGGGGTCGTCAGTTCAATACCACCAGCTACTCGGCAGGAGAAAAGACCTGGTGCTCTGCTCCTATAAAGATGATGAAACCATCAAGATAGTTCCTCTGTCCTCCCAGGAGGGTAGGAGTCAGCCCTCACTCTGTGGCATGTACACAGCCACCTCGTTTTATGTGGGGGTCGTTTTACGCGGGGGTCTTCCACGTAAGAAAGAGCATGGTGGATATTATGAGGATGGCACAGGATAGCGCAATGGTCTGATGTTGTTTTTAGGTTTGCCATGACTCACGGTCAACTCGACGGCACCGAACATCAATATCCACACAAGCAAAAAGTCCTGCTGGGGCAGCTGTTTAAGTGCTGGGCTGTTTAAGCAGCCTGCTGCTAGGACATGCAAGAAAAACCCTGAAGGAACACATGCCAAGGTGCCCTTAATACAGAAGCAGCCCAGAGCAGTTCCTCGTCACTCCATGAGAGGAAACACTGCTGGCCCCCAGGTGGGAGAATGGCAAGGTGGTGTGCTCTGTCAAGGTCACAGCTGCGGCCATGTGGGCTCTGTCTTCATTCAGGGTCACCATGGTTGGAATCGACTCCTGGCAGTGTGGGCAATTTAGATGAACAGCTTCACAAGCCAGAACCTTCAGTGTATTTTGCAACTGGATTTGAAATTATGCTTTACATAGGGCTACTATCGTCTGTTGTTGTTAAGTGCCATCAAGTCGTAGATGACTCATAGTAACCCTATGAACCAAAGACCTGAACACTTGTATAACTTTCATCCTTTCTCCAAGTTTATAGGATTTCCAGAGGCAAGCTATTTAGAAAGTGGATGTCACTCCTGCTTCTAAGCTTTTTTAAGTTTTAATCAGGGAGCTCCACCAAACATTGTCCATCATGTGATAACTACCATCTACTGGTTTGAAATCAACACTGTATCAAACTGAAGAAAGGGGTTTAGAATACATGGTTAGTAACTAGGAAGGACATCAAAGATTTCAGTCATCAGACGACTTGATGGTGTATGCGGGAACTGAAAAGGGATGAAGATGAGGAAAAGATGAGGAAGAAATAAGAATTAGACTTCCTTAGTTGGATGAAGTTACTAACAAAGCTGAAATATTAAACAAACAAACAAACTAGATCCAGACTGTTTCAGTTTATGTTGTTTCATTTTATTGAGGAGTTTTGGTTGTGTCTTAATTTGTGAACAGGCTCTTAAAAGAACCTGTTTGATGCAAAAAAAACCAAAAAATAACCTCACTACGGGAGTCCCTGGGTCTCAGGATGTTCAACATCTATAATAAATTATATTAATTGGGCCTGTTGAAAAAAAAAACAAACCCAAGTCAATATGTACCCTTTAATAAGAGAAGAAAGAATAACATGACCTAGATTTTTTAACACACTCATTTGGCAAGCCTCTTCTACAATCTTAGGTTGGCACATGAAAAGAAGGGAAGTGAGGAAAGATGAGAATTTGTCAGGACTTAGGGATACTATTCTTAGGGATACACTATTCTGGACACAAGACTGGTTTTTCCCTCAAAAGACTGTAAGAATGGTCATTTATACTAGAGATTCAATATAGTATGGGATATTTCATACAAAGTTTTGAGCAGAATTTGGGAATAAGAAAATCTGAGTGACCCACTGTGAAGGTGGCCTTCTGAGATCTCCACGAAAGCAGACGGCTGACAAAGGGTCCCTGATGCATTTCTGTATGAATGCATCTCTGCTGAGGAGATCTCCTTTCCAGAAGGGCCGGGCAGGGCTGCTTCAGAGGACTGTCAATGCTGTGACCTGCTGGAAGCAGATCACTAGAACTGTCTTCTGAGGACCCTCTCTGGGTGAGTTTGAACCACTAACCTTGCAGCATGCAGTCAAGCACTTAATAATTTTCACCAACCAGGGACTCCTCTGTTTTCTAGTGGTCACTGATGATGCTAATTCATAAGCACCACTCCAATCAAGCCTGCTGATGAAACAATGTACACAGCTGGTCTAGGCAGCGATACTGTAGCACTGAAGGTAGCACCAGCCTCAAAACCCACTGCCACTGAGTCAGCTACGACTCACAGCAACCTTCTGCTGGGTTTCTCATGCTGGTGAACTTGAACCTCAGGAGAAAAGTGGCCTTGCAGTTAGGAGTGTGACTTGCCACAGACTGTAGCACCCCAGAGCTCTACGGTAGCATACTGTGACCTAGGAGACCAAGGTCCCTGGCAGCTGAAATGTGTTTTTGGTTATTATTTTAAAATGAAATTACAATTAATTCTTGGTGCAAGACACAGTCTCTTTTAATGCAAATAATAGAAAAATTATTTGAAGAATTAGTCAAGCTTGGTATTTCACTTTAACAAGTGTTACTCTATGATACCAAACAAATTTGTACCATAAGACCTTGAAAAAAGAACTTTTAAATGATTCTTTTCCTACCAGAATTCTATATATATTCTAATGTGCCTAGGGAGACAAAGTAAAGGAACAAAACAAACAAACAAATAAACAAACCAAAAAAATGAAGACAGTCAACACCAGGTACTCTATTGAAGAGACATGTACCCACGTGACTAATTAGGAGTCTTATCATGTATCGTATGGAGGTATAGATAAAGTCTCAAAAACAGTACATACCTTGTCATGCCCTGAATCTCCCCCTCTGACAATATCTGGTGCCATGTATTCAATAGTTCCACAAAAGGAATATGCTCTTTCAGCCTTAAATGAAAAAGAAAAAGTGACTTGGCTTCAGGTTAGTGCAAATGACAAAGCAGGAAGTAACACAAACTGGCAGCTGGGATACAGAGCGTGAGAGGCTACAGATGAACTCACCAGCCCAGAGGCTCTCTACAGAGTCCTGTCAGGAAGAGTTCCCTGATACCTGAATCCCTACATCCACCCACCCACCCCTACCCATCCATCTAGCCACTCATCCACCCTTTCTCCGCCTGCTTATTTTTTGGTTTGTATATGTCAATAATTAACTTACTCACTTAAAAAAAGGTAAATAGTTATAATAAGGCAACAGTGTCTCCATACGTTGTAGCACAAATTGTTTTATACGGTGGTTGTTAGCACTGTCAAGTAGGACTCATAGCGATCCTAAACCCTGTTCTATTCTCATCATCCCTGACACACAGGAGCACACTGCAGCAGTCACTGTGTCAGTCCACCTGGTTGAGGGTCTTTCTCTCTTTGGCTGACTCTCTTCCTTTCCAAGCATGATGTCCCTAAGGAATAGTCTCACTTAGCAACATGCCCAAATTATGTGAGAAGAAGCTCTGTCATCTTTGCCTCCAAGGAGCACCTGGCCTGCACTTCTTTTTGTTATGTATTTTTTGTTCTTTCTGGCTGTCCATGGGATGTTCAGCACTCTTCTTCAATAGCACTGCTCAATTCTTCTTCTGTCATTTATTGTCCAGCTCTCATGCACAGCAAGTGATTGAAAAGTCCATAGCGTGAATGAGGTGCATCTTAGTCTTCAAACTGGTATCACTGCTCCCTAATAATTTGGAGAAGTCCTAATGGGGTGTTAACAGATGTAGCCCTCGACATGCTCAGCAGTCTATGCTAGGACATTTGGAGGATGGCTGCCTTATAAGGGTTGTTGTAGTTGATTGCCTTCGAGTTGAGCATGACTCACCGCGACCCTATGAATGAAAGGCCTGAAGCCTCTCTCCAACTACTGACATTTATCAAAGTTCAAAAAGTTTCTGGAGGCATGTTATTTAGGAAGTGGATGCCAGTCCTGCTTCCACTACTGCCTTATATGGGTAAAACCCTAGAGGACTTGAAGGGAGAAGGAAGCCTGACAGTCAAGAAGCAGGAATAAGGAAACCAAAGATGAACAACAGTATGAAGACTTCTCCTACGTAATTTCTGGCCCAAGTATGCCAATGCCAGTTATAAGCTCAGTCACGGTTAACATGCTGTTATGTTATTAAGTGCCATCAAGTCAAGTACGACCCATAGCAACCTTATGAGCAATAGATCTGAATCTTTCTTTCTTTTTAAAAAAAGATTATCAATTAGACCTGGTCGTTTCTTTTTTGCACAACTTTTAAAAAAACCCTAAAAAACAAAAAACAAAAACAACAACAACAACACCCCAAAGGGATAACTTAATATCCCAAGTCTGAAAAAGAATGAAAGAAACCACAGAGCACTCTAATATGCTAAATGATAAACTGTGTTGTATCACTGAACTCAACATAAAAGTAATGAGTATATATCTAAGTTGTTTTATTAAATATATAGGGAAAAAAATCCCTTAAAAATCTGTATTTAACATTTACACCTCAGACTTTCAATTGCACTTTTTATTTATTTTTTTAAATTATTATTTTATTATTATTTTTTTTGTGTGTGTGTGTACCATCAAATTGGATCTGACTGGTATGGGAGGAGATTGCCCCTCCTTCTCCAGCAGAGCATCTGGTGGATTCGTCCTGCATACTTCTGGGACTGCAGTGCAGCTTTTTGCCACCAGGCCGCTAGAGCTCTCTTTCAATTGCACTTTTACAGAATTAAAATGTTTCATAAAACCATGTGAGAGTAAACTATCCAATGTGCATCTTCCTCTTATTCCACCTGCAAGGTTTTAAGCAACATCAGAACTCCTTTTAGTCACAAATGTTAATAATGAAGAACATTACAGCTATTAAGGACATCTAGCAGGGAGCTCTGGTGGCCCAGTGGCAAGAAGCTGCACTGCAATCCCGAAGGCGTGCGGTTCGAAGGTACCAGATGTTCTGCTTGAGAAGGATAGAAGAGTCTCCTTCTGTGCCAGTCAGATCTGACTCAACAACAAAAATAAAATGACACTAAAACCCCCCCAAAACACCTAACATTGCTTTGGGAAACTATTTTAGATATTGGAGATGTCTGACATCACTTCTCTGATGCCTTTATTTTGAATTTTAGGTTCCTACAGAAACTCTAAGAATCTACAGAAACTCACTTTTATTTCTTGATAAAAAATAAAAAATGTCTCACCCTAAGAAAAAAAAAAAAGACACGGCTCTAGAAACCTTCCAGAAGGTTCCTGCTTCATTCAAAAACAACACAACCACACTGGGACAATGGGTATGACGAATTTATCTTAACATGTTACATGTTCTTGAAAGACTGTCATCCCCCTAAAACAAAAATTCATTTATGCTTACATGTACAGGAAATTGTCTTTTTTTGTTAGCTGTCAGAATAATATTAATTTACAAAGTCAATGCAAAACATCTTCATTCTTTTCCATTTTCATTTCAAAAATTAAATGCTACTTGTTTGGCAAATTACTGGGAGCATTAATGTTAAAAAATCAATTTAGCAGAAATTTATGTACAAAAAATGACTATTTTTAACATTTCACTCAGCATGGTTAGGCAAAAGACAAAAGTGTTTCATGAAGTATTAATCTGTTCAAATATATTAGTAATTCACTTATTACAAACCTAAAACTATACAGTTACTACTATGTGGGAGAAGGATGGGCAATCTCATCCTTTGTGATTAAATTGTCCCTGAAAATCTGGAGGGCCAGCTATATAAGTTGTTTCCAACTTGAGAGCATACAACAATACACAGTTACTACAATATTTATATCAAAGCTTTTATTTGAACAAGAAGCAAAAATTCCATTGCTTAGTAAAGGTATAGAAGCAAATAACAAATTCCTAACATCTAGTATTGACAGGGAGCTCTGTGGGATTAGTGGCAAGGAATTGAGCTGCCAGCCCAACGATTCAGAGTTTGAATCCACCAGCTGCTCCTTTGAAGAAAGATGGGCAATCTCCTGTGCGAGTCACTGCCTCTGAAAACCACCAGAGGGTCAGCTGTGGCTTGGTTTCAACTCGATGGTACACAATAGCAAGTATTGCCAGAGCTCTTGTGGCAGGTGCTCTGCCAACCTAAAGGCACATGGTTCGAATCCACCAGCTGCTCTGGGGAAGAAATATGGGTGATCTCTCCTCTTGGGTAATTTACTATTTCTGAAAACTCAGTGGAGGCTCAGCTCTGGGTCAGTTCTAACTCAGTGGTACACCACGACCACCACCACCACAGTATTGCCCTTAAATCTCATAAAAGGCTTTGCCTATATGAGAGTTAGAATTCCCCAGCAGTTCAAGCACAAGATAAGCGATCTTTCATGTAATTTACTGCCTCTAAAACTTGGAGGGTCTGCTGAGATTCTGTTGTGACTGCAGTACAGATCTGTCTGAAACACTTTGCAGCAGTATACCGACGCCGTACTTATCAATGACTCTGTTATTCTATGTGCAATAATGAAAGCCAACGTGCAAGGTGACAGAACTGCCAGCTGTAATGTTTAAGGTTATATGTCAACTTGGTTGAGCCAGGATTCTGAACGGTCTGGCAGGTAGATAGGCTGTGTACCCGGCAGTTATGATAAATTTGGCCGTAAGATAATGATGTAGTCATCTTCAGTTTTGTGACTGGATGTGGCCATCTTCCACGTCCATACAACAGCAATTTTCACCTAATGATGTGGTCTTTGCAACTTGATCACATCCTCACGAGAGAAGTGGGTATATACATCCTAAGTCAGATTTTGACAGACTGAAAACACATAAAACTGTTCCCAATGGAGCTTATGAGTAAAAAGATGAAGAGTTCCTGAGTTATTACTTCTCTAGCTTTTTGTTATTTAGAAAACAAATATAAATTGTCATTTCCATTCATATGCAGCTCCCTGTCACATATAATTTTGAAATGATGCAGATTTCCCTCTTTCTATGAGCTCAAATGAAATCTTATAAATTGCAAGTCATAAATGTGAAATCTCTTCTCCAAACCAGAGAATTACTTACTTTTATTAAATTCCCTTTAAATTTATTCATAGGTTTAGGGTAAAAGGATACTAAATAAATACACATCAAACTGATCAGTGCCAGAATAGATTACATCTTGCCCTATTTAGTTTATCTGACACTGAGAATAAAGTACTTTTCGTTGTCTTATCTTAGAGCAAGCTCACAACCACATTCAGTACTCAAACCTCCTCCACCTTCTGCATGGGATTTCGGAGCTCTTTCTAAATTAGTTTCTTTGGATGATTGTCTTTTACTTACTGTATGTCCATCCTCCTACTTTTAAGGATAGCAGGTGGTATTTACGAAATACTAATTATTTAGCAAATAGTTATTATTAACTAAATAATTACTACTAGATAATTATTAAGGAGCTCTGGTGGCCTGGTGGTAAGAAACTGCACTGCAATCCCACAGCCATGTAGTTCTAATCCACCAGCTGCTCCATGGGAGAAGGATGGGCCATCTCCGCCTGTGCGATTTACTGCCTCTGAAAACCCACGGAAGCACCACCTATGAGTTGTTTCTGAGATGATGACACATAACAACAACTATGACCGATAAGTGATACCGGACAGAAATTCTAGGAGACTGAAAAGCTTCAGTGCTGGGAAACGACAGTCACCAAGGATTGTCTTAATCAAAGACTAAGCTTCTCACAAGTGTCTCTGTTATTGAAAAACGGTCGCCATCTGCCTTGTTCCTAACGTGGCCATCCCCCTCCTCCTAACGCCGCCGTCCCCCTCCTCCTAACGCGGCTGTCCTCCTCCTCCTAACGCCGCCGTCCCCCTCCTCCTAACGCGGCCGTCCTCCTCCTTCTAGCGCGGCTGTCCTCCTCCTCCTAACGCGGCTGTCCTCCTCCTCCTAATGCGGCCGTCCTCCTCCTCCTAACGC